GATAAGTACACTCTCACTGGTAGAAACATGGCCACGCAGATTTCCTGTATTCACTCGTGGAACATGGGTGTCGCTGGCTGTACCAGCATTTATTGCCCGTCCCTAGTTGCCCTTGAGAAGGTGGGGTTGAGCTGCCTTCTTGAACTGCTGCAGTCCATATGCTGAAGGTTGACCCACATTGCCCTGAGAGAGGGAATTGTAGGATCTTGAGCCAGAAACAGTGAAAGAATAGCAATATATTTCTTAGTCAGGATGGTGAATGGTGGGGGAAAAAAAAGCTCTGGAAATTTAGCTCTGAAGTTTTATGTGTAAAGATCACATCTGACCCTGAGAGCTGTGATGACCCTAGAGCAGTGGTGAATTAGAATTAGGATTAAAATTAGATTTTATTGCCACATGTACTTGAGTACCAGAATACAGAGAAAAGTGTATAAAGTTACCATTCTATGGCGCCAGTCTGTGTGTGTGTGTGTGTGTCTGCAAAACAGACATACCGTTTTGGAGAATGACCTCTCAGGGGGAAGCAGCAACCAACATGGTTGGTTCTGCTGCAGAGGGGGGTGGGGGTAAAAGTGTTTTTTTCTTTATTCATTCATGGGATGAGGGTGTTGTTGGCTAGGCAGCAATTATTGCCCATCCCTAATTGCCCAGAGGGCAGTTGAGAGTCAACCACATTGCTGTGGGTCTGGAGTCACATGTAGGCCAGACCAGGTAAGGATGGCAGTTTCCTTCCCCAAAGGGCACTAATGAATCAGATGGGTTTTTCCCCAACAATTGACAATGGATTCTCAGCCATCATTAGATTCTTAATTCCAGCTATTTTATTGAATTCAAATTCCACCATCTGCCATGGCTGGATTTGAACCCAGGTCCCCACAACATTATCTGGGTTTCTGGATTAACAGTCCAGCAATAATACCTCTAGGCCATTGCCACCCCCTATCTATTGCCAGTGCAATAGTTATAGGAGACTCAATTGTAAGGGGATTAGACAGGTGTTTCTGTGGCTGCAAACGAGACTCCAGAATGTTATGTTCCCTCCCTGGTGCTACGGTCAAGGATGTCTCAGAGCGGGTACAGGACATTCTGAAAGGGGAAGGTGAACAGCCAGTGGTTGTGGTATACATCGGTAGAAACGACAAAGGTAATAAAAGGGATGAGGTCCTAAAAACAGAAAACAGGGAGCGAGGAAGAAAGTTAAGAAATCAGACCTCAAAGGGAGTGATCTCAGGATTATTACCGGTGCCACGTGCTAGTTCGAGGAGAAATGACAGGATATACTGGATGAATATGTGGCTGAAAAGATGGTGTTCGGGGGAGGGTTTCAGATTCCTGAGGCACTGGGATTGGTTCTGGAGGAGGCGGGACCTGTACAAACTGGACGGGTTACACCTGAGCAGGACTGGGACTGATGTCCTGGGGGGTAGTGTTTGCTGGAGCGGTTGGGGAGGGTTTAAACTAATATACCAGGGGGATGGGAACCTATGTAAGGAGCCAGAGAAGGAGGCAGCAAGGATAAAAACAAAAGGTAGAAAAGGGTATAAGAAAAGTGATAGGTTGAGAAACCAAGGACTGGATTCAAACAGGGCTATTGAGAAAAATAAGGAGGAGACAAACACTGTAAAAAGGAAAAGCTTAAAGGCTTTGTGCCTTAATGCTCAGAGCATCTACAATAAAGTGGATGAACTAATCGCACAGATAGATGTAAACGGGTACAATATAATTGGGTTTAAGGAGACATGGCTGCAGGGTGACCAGGGATGGGAACTGACTGTCCCAGGGTATTCAGTATTTAGGAAGGACAGGCAAAAAGGAAAAGGTGGTGGAGTGGCATTTCTGGTTAAAGAGGAAATTAACATAATAGTGAGAAAGGATGTTAGCTCTGACGATGTGGAGTCTGTATGGGTAGAGTTGAGAAATACCAAGGAGCAAAAATCATTGGTAGGTGTTATATATAGACTCCCAAACTGCAGTGGTGATGTTGGAAATGGCATTAAACAGGAAATTAGAGATCCATGTGATAAGGGAATATCGGTGATCATGGGTGATTTTAATCTACACATAGATTGGCTAGATCAAATTAACCACAATGCCATAGAGGAGGAATTCCTGGAGGGTATACGGGATGGATTTCTTGGCCAATATGTGGAGGAACCAACTAGAGAACAGGCCATCTTAGACTGGGTACTGTGTAATGAGAAGGGAATCATTGCCAATCTCGCTGTGTGAGACCCCTTGGGGATGAGCGACCATAATATGATTGAATTTTTATCAAGATGGAGAGTGAGGTTGTTGATTCGGAGAATAGGGTGCTGGACCTTAATAAAGGAAACTACAAGGATATGAGGCATGAGTGGGCCTTGATAGATTGGGAAGAGTGACTTAAAGGAATGACAGTGAAAAGGCAATGGCAAATATTCAAGGAATGCAAGGGCAACTGCAACAACTGTTTATTCCTGTCTGGCACAAAAACATAATGGGTGAGAGAGCCAAACCATGGCTTACAAAGGAAATTAGAGATAGTATCCAATCCAAGGAAGAAGCACACAGATTGGCCAAGAAAAATAATGAATCTGAGGATTGGGAGCAGTTTAGAATTCAGCAAAGAAGGACCAAAAGATTGATTAAGAAGGGGAAAATAGAGTACAAAAGTAAGCTTGCAGGAAACATAAAGACCAACACCAAGAGTTTCAATAGGTACATGAAGAGAAAGAAATTGGTGAAGACAAATGTAGTTCTTTAAGAAGCGGCTCTAGAAATAGTGGATGCATTGGTGGTCATCTTCCAGGATTCTATAGACTCTGGAACAGTCCCTGCAGATTGGAGGGTGGCTAATGTCACTCCAATATTCAAAAGGGAGTTAGAGAGAAAACAGGGAATTATAGACCGGTAACCCTAACGTCGATAGTACAGACAATTCTCAAATCCACTGTTAAGGATTTTATAGCAGAGCATTTAGAAAGAAGTGGTAGGTTCAGACAGAGTCAGCGTGGATTTATGAAGAGGAAATTGTGCTTGACAAATCTGTTGGAATTCTATTAAGATGTAACTAATACAGTT